GCGGAAATGGAAAGGTGGTCAGTGCTCTAGAAGGGTTTTCAGATTTCGGGGGGACAAAGCTCTGCAAACAAGCCTTCATCATGCAGGTGATGCTTCAATGGGGGACACGCAGGCAAGGAGCATGGGGATCCCAGAGGCAGAGAGTCTATTTCCGCTAATGTAAGGGAGGCCATGATGGAAGGCTTCCCGGAGGAAGGGAGGCCTGAGATAAGACCCAAAAGACTTAGATGTAAGGAAGCCAGTGAATAAAGGTGGAAGGGGCTGTCCACGCAGAGGTAACTGCAAGAACAAAAGCGCAGAGGCTAGAGAGAGCAGAGAGGGCTGCTGGGACATAAAACCAATCCCTCATCACAGAGGTGCCAAGTCCAAGGGAAGGCAGATAAGGCTGCAAGCCAGATCGCTGGGATTTGCAAACCACTAAAAAGCTTGGCGTTTAAAGCGGAAGGGTTTAAGCAAAGGAGTCAAGGGCTGGATCTGTATCTTGGCAAAACCACTCTGGCAGCAGCAGCAAAGATGGATTAACGAGAGAGTTCAGTTCTGAGGCTCTTTTTCTTCCCCTCGGCAAGAGAGGAAGCAGCCCAGAGAGTGATGGCGGGAAATGATGACATTATCGGGCTGCCATTTATTGAGCACTTAGTATGTGCCAGGCTCTGTGTTAAGCCTTTTACAGGGATCGGCTTTTTCACCCTCGTAACAACCCGGTCGGGCGATTACTAGCATCCACCCCATTGAACAGAAATGGACACTAAGCTACACAACAATTAAGCACATGTTTGGAGGCGGCGATGCCAAATTTCCAACCGAGACAGACTGGCTCTGGTGTGTCCAGAATGGGGGAGCTCTGTGTGACACCTTGAGGTCCAAGTCCAGAAGGCGGATGGCTCTGGGCCCGGCACTCAGAAGTGAGGTGGGGGCCACAGGTCCATGCACAGAGCACACTGGATACCAAAGGCCCTTCCAGCTACAAAGTTCAACGCCACCCTCACCACCAGCACAGAGCTTGCCAACGGGCCCCAGATGATGTCTTTCAGGTTCCCTTTTGGGGTCCTGGTGCCAGCTCCTCCTACCTGCGCCCGCCCTGGTACCTGCTGGAACATCTGCTTCCCATTTCCCTGAGGGCTGGAGGTGGCTTTGGGAAATCCTCTGCCTCCAGGCTAGATTTACACCCAAACTGCCTCAGACACTGGCCTTGAGGACCTGATGGTGCGGAAGCTTTCCCTGGAGCTCCCCTCTGCGAGATCTCGGGGAGACGTGGGTAGAGGCTGTTTCATGCTCTGTGAAGAGGTGGAACCTACAGCCCAAAGTGGTTGGCCACCTGCCCAAGGTGGCTGCTATGTTAGAACCTGGCTCAAGCATTGCATTCACTCATTCACTCACTCATTCATTCATGCAGCGGGTATTTACTAAAGAACATACTACAGAATAAACACTGGGGCTGAACAGAGAAAGACGACTCATTACACAAGTAATTAACCTCATAGCACCTCGAGAAGAGCTAAGATAAAGGTGAGACTATGAGAGGGGGTTCTGATTTACACATGAAAGGGGCTCAAGGGCCAGGGGGAGGGTGTGTCAGTCCGCTTGTCTGTAGAATTTCCCAGAGACGGCTAGTCTGTCCAGCGATGCACCTTCCGGCCTGTGTGCTCCTGGGACAATGACCTCCATCGAAGGGTGTGGTCTATGTCCCCTGCCTTGGACTGGATGGACACTGACCGATAGAATATGGCAGAACTCCACTAAATGACTTGCAAGCCTAGGTCATGAGGTGCAATGTGACTTCCTCCTGGCTCTCTGGGGACACGCGCCCCTGTAGCCCTGAGCAGCCATGTCAAAGCCTGGCTGCTTGATACCACTATGCTGAAGACAGAACCTGAAGAGACCGCGAGGGAGCTGGAGGGGCGGGGGAGAGGGGGAATGCCCAGGTGCTGACAGGAGATGGAAGAAGCCTTTAGAATGACCCTGACTCGGGGCGCCTGGGTGGCTTAGTCAGTTAAGCGTCCAACTTTCGCTTAGGTCATGATCTTGCGGTTCGTGGATTCGGGCCCCGCGTCGGGCTCTGTGCTGACTGCCAGCTCAGAGCCTGGAGCCTGTTTCAGTCTGTGACTCCCTCTCTCTCTGACCCTCCTCTGCTCACGCTGTCTCTCTCTCTCTCTCTCTCCTAGAAATAAAACAAACAAACAAACAAATCTAGAATGACCCTGACTCAGCCACCATCCAACTGCAACATCACGAGAGACCCAAACAGACCCAAGCCCAGCTGAGATGAATTCTGGACCCACAGAAACCTTGAGAGATAATAAATGGTTATTTGTGTTTTAAGCCCCCGAATGTTGGTGTAACTGGTTGACAGCCAGAGTAACTGGAACACGGCTGAAAGGTGGTGGACAGAAGTGCTCTGGGCAGAGAGCGCAGCATGTGCAAAGGCCCTGAGGTGAAAAGGAAGCGCTGAAACGAAGGTGCAGAGGCTGCCAGGGCCATCCCCCTAGCTTTCCAGATCCTTCTTTTGATCCTACCTGCATTTCTCCAGTGAACAGGTAATGCTGTTTCCTCTTCTGTACACAGAGCCACTTAATGGGACCATGGGAAGAAAGTTACATTTCACACATCCATTCATTCTCTCCATCAGGAAGATTAAATGCATGGCCCGGGTGTGTGTGGGGGGGGGGGCCTCCATTGTCATGTCGGTGCTCCTCCCTGCAGTGCACAGAGGGGACTGAGGCTGCGTGGGGGGGAGGGGGCGGATGTTCCCGCACTGCCCTGAGCAGTAGGTCAGCGGCGGTGAGATGGGCTCCAAAGCCACGGCAGCAGCCCACCCCCTGCCCCAGCTCCGGGTCAAACCACACTCCTGCTCTGTAAAATGGGGACGCTGATGACACCGGCCTTGCTGGGCTCGAACCAAGTGGCTCGACCAAGACAATCCTCAAGACAGCCGCCCTTTCCTCTGGGCTGGTCTGTGCCGGGCACCAGGAGAAACCCACAGCCGCACTGCCGAGCTTCTTCCTCGCAAGGCCGGGGCTGGTGGCACCCCGCTGACAGCCGAGACAACTGAGGCAGGGGCGGGCAGGCTGGGTCCGCAGCACACAGGAAATCCAGGGAACACGGGCAGCGGAGACCCAGCTGCCTTTCCTTTTCCTGCCGGAGCCCCACACACCTGGTCTCGCGTCCTCAGTCCCCCTGACGAGCTCCGGGCTCGCCCTGCCCCCAAGCAGCCCGCCCCATTCACAGCCCCAGAGCACTGGGGAAAACAAAGGGAAAAGAACAATACCAAACAGCTGGCCGGGGCCCCCACTCTGGGAAAAGCAGCAGAGAGAGGCGGAAGGCGGCACTCCTGGGCACCTCCTGCCCAGCAACCACGACCCCATACAAAACAAGTCATGCCTTCGTGGGCATTCCATGCCAGCAGGTCGGGGGAGGGGAGATACATGGTAACTATGACGCTGAAAACAGCATGATAGAAAGTATTTATTTAGTGCTCACCCTCTGCCACCCCTGCTCTAACTCACTCCATTCTCCCATGCTGTGAAGTGGGTGGTATTCGTTTCCTCCATTAGCCATGAGGAAACAAGAGGCACAGAGAAGTTCAGGGACTCCCCCAAAGTCACACAGCAGGTCCAGCCAGGATTTAAATTACTGTTTTTTTTTTTTTAATATTTTTATTTTTTTCTAGGAGAGAGAGAGAGAAAACGTGAGCAGGGGAGGGTCAGAGAGAGAGGGAGATACAGACTCTGAAACAGGCTCCAGGCTCTGAGCTCACAGTCAGCACAGAGCCCGAAGCGGGGCTCGAACCCACGAACCGCGAGATCATGACCTAAGCGAAAGTCGGACGCTTAACCGACTAAGCCACCCAGGCGCCCCCCAGCCAGGACTTAAACCGGGAAACAGGTAAACAAGGGAATGCAAAAGTCCTCAGGTTCCAGGCTGAGGACTCACATACATTCATCGTGTGGGAGATGGGGTTTACCCCTCTTACCACACAGGACGCGGCCACATGGAGAAATTCAGCTGCCCACCCAGAAGCCAGGGGCTGGGGAGCCACCTCTGATCCCGGGGCTGGCAGAGACGCTTCTTTTCCAGAAGGTATGTATTCAGCCTGTGATCCATGTCTGGCTCCAGCCAGAGGCTGTCCTGGACCAATCTGCCCCATGACAGGACAACCCTTCAGTACTGTTCCAGCAGCTGAGTCAGGGCCACCCCAGACCCACCCCAGGGCACAACACCCCACAGGCCCCTCGGGGGAAAAGGGAGCAGAGGAGCCGGTTCCCAGCTGCAGCACCCACTTCCCTGGCCTTGCAAGCCTTTTCTTTTCTCTAGAAACAGACTGGGACTCATTGCGTCCTTCCCTGCCTCGCCCCTCTCCCCCCCTTCTGCTCTCTCGGGGGTCACTTTACTCATGTTCCAAGCACTAACATGGAATGGGGGGGAGATAGAGGCGGAGAGGGAAGGGAAAGGGGAGCTGAAACTTGAGATCCCAGCCTTAGTGGGGGGAGGCTGGAGAGACACAGAGAGACGGACAGAGACAGGAAGAGAGGGTTCACTTGCGCTTGGTTTTCCGAGGCAGGCGGCTTGGGGGTTTGGAGTGTGTGCGTGCACGCGTGTGTGCCTGGGTGTGCTGTTTTCTTTTGCACGGGGAGGCCCGGCCTCCACTGGATAATAAATAACTCAGAAGCGAGGCCACGCAGGGAGAGCAGGCCCGGTGCGCCTGCAGACAGGGCAGCAGCAGGCAGGGGTGAGAGGGAAGGAAGGGAAAGGGGGAAGAATCGAGGTGAGGGGGTGTCTGCGGGCGGGAGCAGAGGCGAGGGGAGGAAGCCAGCAGCTGTGGTATGTGGAGCAAGTATAAATAGCCTTCCTGGACAGAGCTCGTCAGAGCAGGGGTCTGCGCTGCGCTGCAGAGGGGCAGGCCTGTCCGCTGCTGGCCCCGGGGGTGCACCCCGGGCACCGAGGCGGCCGGAGCGCCGGGGGGCTCTGACCTGACACCCCCACCACCGCCGCCACATCTACGGATGCTCTCCCCGCCAGCCATGCTGCTGGCTGGCCTCCTCCTGGCCGCGGCCGCCGTGACTATGGCCCAGCGGAGGGGACAGGAGGCGGCCGGGCGCCGCCGGGCACACCGAGTCCAGCACGGCCAGTGCAGCTACACCTTCGTGCTGCCTGAGCCTGAGCCCTGCCCGCCGGACCCCGAGGCCTTCGGAGGCTCCAACAGCCTCCAGAGGGACTCGCCGGCAGCGGCACTGAACCTAGGGGACTGGCCGGCCCAGCGGGTGCGACAGCTGGAGAAGGTGCTGGAGAACAACACGCAGTGGCTGCAGAAGGTAAGGGCGGGGCCTGCGGGGGGGCGGGGGGCACGGGGGCCTGTCCCCCGACACAAAGGTCAGGCTGGTGCAGCCCTTGTCTCCGAAGTGCACAGATGGGGGTAACGAGGAACAGAGACGGGCAGCGACGGCCCTGATGCCACACAGCAAGACCAGGCAGGGTCAGAGCTCGACACCTGGCTCGCTCACAGCCATTCATTCACTCATTCGATAGAAACTCACCAAGCTCTAATCACAGGCCTGGCCCATCCTAGGGGCGAGGCGCATAACAGTCAACAGAACATCACATCCCCTGCGGGACTGGTGGGAGAAAGAGGCCAGAAAGAGATGAGCCCTAGATACCTGCTCTGTCAGATGGTGAAGTAAAATGAAGGAGGGAAGCAGGCAAGGAGTGACGGGGTGGCTATTTGTGGCCAGACAATCCGAGAGGACTTCTCGGAGGAGGTGACACGTGAACCCAGAGAATAAAGTAAGGTGATGGAGCAGCCCGTGCAGGTACCTGCGGGGAGGGCATCTGCCACAAAGGGACGAGCAAGGCAGAGGCTGTGAGGTAGGAATGCAGTCAGGGTGGCCAGGGAACCGTGAAGACCAGCGCCGCTGGAGCAGAGGACGGGAGAAAGGGGCACGCCGGGAGATCGGAGAGGTGTGGGGAGGCAGGTCGTGTCGGGCCTTGGGAGCACTGGGAGGCCTCTGGCTCTTGCTCTGAGACACCCCTGATTTGCCTTAAACAGAATACGCCGTAGGGGGCGGGGTGCATGCCGGGAGCCAGAGAAGAAGGCTGCTTCGCCACCAGGCAGGAGGTGATGGGGGCCTGGAGTGTGACCGGGCGGGAGATTAGGAATTATTCTGAAGTGGGAGCATTGATCCTGCTGATGAATTGGGTACCGGGCAGGCGGCAGAGAACCAGGAGCTAGGGACACCCCCTGCGGTTCTGGCCCAAGGCCAGGGACATTCTAGGGTCTTCTGCGCTCATTCTTTCAGTGAACACTCTCTGAGCACCCGCCATGTGCCAAGCCCGCAACAAGGCACCGAGTACAGAGACGAACGAGGCAGCCTTGGCCCTGCACAGGTGTGGGGGCGGGAAGGGTGTCCTGTGGGTCCCAAGACCAGGTGGGCAGGAGCCTCTAAGTGACAGCAAGCGACAGAGAGAATGAGCCCCGGGCCCCAGGTGCAGAAAACAGTTGGAGCAGTGGCACGGGGTGGAGAGAGGTGGACTGCTTCCTAGAGCCTTCGACAGGACACGGCAGCTGACCAGCCGCTTCTGCAAGGAGCAGTGCCTTCCTGCTCCTTGGTTTCCAAGTTGTTCAAAGCACGTGCCCAAGCAGCAAACAGTGTCCACTCCCCCTATATGTGCGTATTTACTTGATAGTTTTGCACACGTGCCCCTATTCATATAATATGTGCAGGGTAGAAAACAAAATGAAGTGGAACCTTCCATTTCCAAAAAGATGATACACGAAATCATGTTACCTGAATTTCTGATAGTTTCCCCTGCTTTCCAAAGGATTGCTTTGAGCACACTCTGGGTTTACGCATCCCTGAGGTGGGGAGACTGGCCTGCCTGTATCTAACCAAACTGCTTTGTGCACCCACACTTAACCTCCTGGCTTACTCCTGGCCTAACCATCTATCTCCTCAGCCCCCAACTCACCATCTTCCCTAGGCCCTCACCCACTTGCCCTCCCTCCCACCTGCCCTACAGCACTGCCAGCTTGCCATTCCCACCCCTAGATCCCTCTTGGGGGAGTTCCTGGCCTCACATGCTGGAGCCAACCCAGTGGGGGCTCCATGCTGCTCTGAAATCTGTCCCAACCCTCACCTCCTCCTCAAGCCTCCGTTTTTATTGTCCCCCATCCTCCCACCAGACCAATGACCCCCTGCTTCAATGAGAAACGGGGAAGAGCCACTCTTCAGCTGCCTATCCCACACCTATAGGTTCACCCATGCATCCACCAGTCCCCAGGGCCTTTTTCCAGCTCAGAGGGAGGGGATCCTCCATGGGCCAAGGCCACTCTTCCCTTCTGGGATGTAGATCCCATCCCTGTGCAGCCCCTGAACCTCCCAAGCCAGCTCTCCCCTTCTGTACTCCCCCTCTGCTGATTCTTCCCCCCTCCGTGTGTAGTCCCATATAAGTATCTCCCATGGGGAAAAAATGGAGAAGGAAGAGTAGAGGAAACAAGGCTCTTATCCAACCAACGCTATCTGACTTCTGGCCTGGGTCTCAGAAGTCCATACACTCTGCCTCCATTTCCTCGCATCCCATGTGCTCCTTCCCCCAAAAGTCACCTCCCACCTCCTACATCCAATGGCCACCAGTCTTCATCATACTTGATCTCCCGACAAATTCTACGTTGCTGACCAGCACCATCCTTCCAGAAACCGTCGCCATCAGCAAGCCCTCATCCACAAGACATGCCCACGCTTACTTACCTCCCTACCCCTTTCTCTACCTTGCCCCACTCTGGGCCAGCCACCCTCATCTCCTACCTGGGCGGCCATCATGGCAGCCACCCTGGCTAAAGATCTTAAAGACAGATCTTTAGCTTCTGTCCCTTCTCGGCTTCAGACCATCCCATCTCTTTGGAATAAAAGCAAAAATCCTTAGTCCCTGGAACACTCCTCTCCCAGAAGCCCACATTGCTCACCCCACCTCCTTCAGGTCTCTCCTTAAATGTCACCTCTTTAGAGAGGCCCTCCCGGTCTGTCCCATTTAAACTGCTCTCTCTCTGTCACTCTGTATCCCCTGAACCCGGCTTCGGTTTTCTCTCTTAGCACAATCACTACCCATTCTGAGAGCATTTCTGTCATCTGTGCACAGCAGGGGAGCAAGGATCACACCTGCTTTGTTCACTACTGGGTTCCCAGAGCCCAGAACGGTGCCTGAGGCAGCACAGGTGCTCCATACACGTCCGCGGGATGAATGAGCACATGCGTGAAGCCCCCGAGCCCCTCCCCACCCTGAGATGCCAGTGTTTCCCAGGGCTCTGTCCCTGCTCCTCTTTGCCTTTCACGCTTCACAGCACGGGCCCCAGGGCTGTCCCCACGGCTTCTGCAGCGCCATTTCCCTCCTGCCCCACAATGCTACCAAATCAGCATCTGATGGGTTCCTGAGCCCCAAATCCGTGACCCTGACCCTGAAGGTGTCTTCCCTCCAAAAGCCCGAGGTGCCTCAACCCTGATGCTGCCGGACACTCAGCGCCTCCCTCCCTGCCCACCTGTCTCCGTTTAAGGCCTTCATAGCCACCTGCCCCGCCGACAGCAGGTCCGCCCATCCTGTGGCCTCCGGTTCTCTCCTCGAGGTGCACCCTCCTGTCTCCCCAGCTGCCTCCCTGGCCCCCTCTGCCTCATTGCCTCCCTCTACCCCAAGCCTCACCCTCCCATCCATCCTTGACTCCCCAGGGTGCCTGGTGCTCAGGCATCATGGGCTGAGCCAAAGGAAGGATTCAAACCCATGATTTTCGGTTCAGAAGGCCACCCAGCCCACCTCTTCAGCCTGTGGCATCATGTCCTCTCCAGATGTCCCTGGGGCACCATGGGGCAAAGAGCACTGCTGCAGGAGTCAGGCTGACCTGAGTTCCCATCCCGGTCTGGCGTTTACTTGCCACATGGCTGTGGATGAGCATGCCTCAGTTTCCCCATCTGCAAAACGGGAACGTGTCAGGAGGATGGCTGGGATGGCAGCTGAGAGCACTCCCACGCCGCTGTCAGCCTGCTGCCTGACGAGAGCTCGTGTCTCGTGAAGCACAGGGTAGCCCCCCTGTGCCCGGATGCAGTGGACCGATGGGCTATTATTGAACTCCACCGCATCTCCAGTTTGGGCCCTGCACTGCGGGGTGAGGGCAGGGCTCCTGTGGACAAGTCAGTCCGATGGTCCCTATCCAATAACCTTGGGGCTGGGACTGTCATTTGTCCATGCTGGTGTGCCCCAGGGGCTGCTGGGGTCCAAGGAGGTGCCTGCTCTGCCATTTCCTGGGTAAGGGATCCTCGGGGTGAATGCCCCTTGGGCTGGGCCTATCTCTGAGCCTTTGAAACAGCGCCCTCTTCTGGTTTCTGCAGTAACATCCCAGGAGAGAAAAAAATTGAGTTTCAAAATATTCTGATCTGGAAGCATCATTATTACCACTATCGCCATTAAGGATTACTGGGGATGAGCGGAGAGGACCAGCTTATCCAGACCGAGCTCTTGGCCCGATTCCAATCACCGGGGCGGTGGCAGAGGAGACCCTCCTTGCCGCAAGCGGCCAGCGGCCAGCACTGCTCAGCGTGTGCCCCTGATTCCCCGCCCACCCCCCCCCACCCCCACCCCGGTCCCCACCAGCACAGGTGCGGAGACAGGCCAGGGAGGGGAGGCGACTTGTTAGAGTCACCCAGCAGTGGCAGCCAGCCCAGACTCTCTCTCCAAACTCCAGGTCCTTTCTCCTGACTCTGGAGGGTATCAGGGAGGTGAGGGAGGCAAGATATGAGAGACAGTGGCGTGTTCCCTGGTGCCTTGGGGTTCCCGAGTCCCAGACACCCACCCCCTTCTCCCAGCGTGGAGCTGGCCAGCTGGCCGGTGTCCTCCGAAACTCAGAGTGCAGGGGGCAGGGAGGGGGGGTGCGGGAAGGTCTGTTCCCCCTCCCCCTTCCTTGTTCCCCCCCATACCCCACCCGTCTCCCTCCTTCTCTTCTCCCCTTCCTCCACTGCTCTCCCCTCCCCTCTTCCCCCCTCCCCCTGGAAAGCCTCTGCACTAATGACTCCCGTCTGGAGTCAGCTATCTGTGGGCTGCACATCGGCTCCTGGCTCTGCTCCACCCCCTCATCTGGGACGAAAGCTGCAGCCAGGACTGTAGAGGGGGTGGGCGGACAGGCGGACGGAGCCAGCGGGGGTGCAGGGTCCCCCAGCAGGCCGTGCAACACGGTGGCATGTGGCGTGGCCTCCTGGGTCCGCCGCCTGTGTGAGCCGGTGCTGGCCCTGCGCTCAGGGCCTCGCCTGTGCGATGAGACGGTTTGATGTGGGCTCCA